GAAGCATCCACACCAGAATCAAAGAACATGAGAGACACTGCAGACTAAAACAACCAGAAAAATCGGCAGTAGCTGAACATGCCCTAAAACAAACTGGACATGAAATTCTATTTCAAAATACTGAAATACTGGACAACACCAGCAATCATTACGTCAGACTGCACAGGGAAACCATTGAAATCCACAAGCACCAGCAGAACTTCAACAAAAAAAAGAAAAGTGTGAAGCTCAACAAAACCTGGCTCCCAGCTCTCAAAAATACAGCATGCAAAAGGTCAACGAACTCTACCCAGCCACAAGGGCAGGGGATCACTACACACAAAAGACCAGCTAATGAAACCCACCAACCACAGTGACAGATAATCTCTTCTCCTTAGCACAACAATACACCCACAACAAGACACACTAATCACCCATCTACAGAAAAAGACAAAAGCCTATCTCACAGCCATAAATACTGCACTCCCAAGCCAACTACACCAGAGCACAGAGTGCTGTCCTCTGAAGATGCCAGCCACAGAGACTGGCGAAATGTTAGGAAGAACAACCTTCAGAACATGGCCAAAGAGCCCAAAAAACCCACAACAACCATTAAATCAAATATTATTTAATACTACAGACAAGTGATGGTTTCACTTTGGTTTTTAGCAAACTTTTCAAAATTCACAAAATCTAAATACAAGAGCAAAATTTGCCTTTTTCTGTTTGTGGCCAGGGCAGACTGAGACCTTTTGCTACCTGAGATGAAAGAAAGGAGGGCCTTCCCCACTCCATGTACAAAAAGGATACTAAACTTTGACATCAGTGAAGAGCCAGTAGCCTTTGCTAAACCTAAGCCCCATGGGGCTGCTAAAGGGGTGCAAAACAGGCCACCTAGCACATGAAACTTTGTCTTAGTATATTTCACTGACTCTTCCTTCCTTCCCATTATGTACTGCCTGATGTCAGGTGAAGCCCTGACTGGCATCAACAGTGTTTTTTCCCACTTCACCTCATAACTTTTGCCCTTCTGCTTAGCCATTTTTCCCTCAGATTTGGGCTTTATTTATTCTTCTCACGAACAACCAGAATAGAATTAATGGGGAGGGGGATTAGCACATTGGGGAGAGGACTGTCATTCAAGCTATTATTAAATTAGTCAAGCTAATACTGTATTCAATTAATACATCACTCTCATCTGTGCCAATCTTCCAGCACTGACATCTTGTGGTTAATCTTGGATTTGCATCTCAAAACCACGCAGGACCTGTGCCTCAGGAACTGTAATTGTTCATAATTTTCTTACACAGCAATACAAAACTACAGCAGGACTCAAAGTTCTGACATTTTTCAGTTCTCTTGTCTAAGCCAAGCATACTAGAACACTATCATTTCTGAAATACAGTATCTTCTCATGCTAAACTGTGAAATCATTTCAGTTCAACAGTAGCCTCTTCCCCCATACAAACATTGGCTGTACTAAAACTATATTTATATAAAGGTGTAGAAAAGGGTTTAATCATCAAGGTGATTTCCATACAGAGTCAGATTCAGTCTCTAACATCTTCAGTTAAGGACGAAAAATGCTCCTGAAACTTAAATGAACAGTTGCTAGTTGAGTTGGTCATGGCCATAGAAGCAACTTTTGCATTTGGAAAATTATTATTGCAGTTAACACCTACCTGAAGAATTTGTAGATGATTGATCTATTGCTGTTTATTGGATTCAACACATCACAATAAAGTACACATTTTCGGGGGCGGGGGGAGCAAGACCAAGCTGATCATGTGAATTTCAGTTTGTATCCCTGTACTACTATGATGGTGCAAGTGTAGTTATTACTCTTAATTAATTCATTCATTTATTTAATACTGCGTTAATAGTATAATTGATTTGGATTTTTTAAGCTCTATTGCTTTTTAACTGTACATTCCAATCCACTGTGAGACACACAGGGGGAAAAGGCTAGATGCAGTACAGTAGTGCCTCGCATAGCGAGGTTAATCCATTCGCTATGAAGCAGGGAATTCCATTGGAACGCATTAAACATGGTTTAATGCATTCCAAATGGGCCGAATACTCACCGTTCAGCGATGCTTCTTAATGGCCGGCAGCCATTTTCGCACCCTCCCCTCACTTAATGAGGGCGCGAAAACACTGCGCGTGGCCATTTTGGGCCATTTCCGGGCTTCCGGCGGCCATTTTGGCCACCTAACAGCTGATCAGCAAGACCAAGCGGATCATGTGAATTTCAGTTTGTATCCCTGTACTACTATGATGGTGCAAGTGTAGTTATTACTCTTAATTAATTCATTCATTTATTTAATACTGCGTTAATAGTATCATTGATTTGGATTTTTTAAGCTCTATTGCTTTTTAACTGTACATTCCAATCCACTGTGAGACACACAGGGGGAAAAGGCTAGATGCAGTACAGTAGTGCCTCGCATAGCGAGGTTAATCCATTCGCTATGAAGCAGGGAATTCCATTGGAACGCATTAAACATGGTTTAATGCATTCCAAATGGGCCGAATACTCACCGTTCAGCGATGCTTCTTAATGGCCGGCAGCCATTTTCGCACCCTCCCCTCACTTAATGAGGGCGCGAAAACACTGCGCGTGGCCATTTTGGGCCATTTCCGGGCTTCCGGCGGCCATTTTGGCCACCTAACAGCTGATCGTCGGGCTTTGTTTTGCGAAGATCGGTAAGCGAAACGCTTACCGATCTTCGCAAAGCGAATTTTGCCCTATCAAAAAAACGTTGCGTGATCGCATTAATGTACATTCCAAGCCACCGTGAGACACACAGGGGAAAAAGGCTAGATGCAGTATATATAAACAACCAAAATAAAGGAGCAGCAGACACAGTTTTGCTATGAAATGGTTTATTGATTAAAAACAGTAGAAAATTAACACTTGTTATGCACTGAAGAAACTATCAGGTAGCATCAGGCACAGAAGTAAAGGTAAAATTGTTGATATGGCATAAATGTAACACTGACAAAGCAACTAAAGCTTTATAAATTCAAGCAAGCTGTGGGAGCCGCAGTAAAAAAGAAAGTATTTAATTACTTAAAATCTCCACCACCACTACTGGCAGGCACAGATTTTCATTAAACATGCATTTTCTCCTTCCATGTTGGGATCGTGTGGCTTGCATGCAAAGAAACTGATTATACATAAGTTGGGCAGGCCAATGGCCAAAGAATGAAATATTATTCAAAATATCCCCCATCATCTCCCCTGAGCACCATCATCCTTCGATAGGTGTAACTTACACAGCAAGATTTTTTTTAAACTACATCTGTTACCGATATCTGGGGTGAATTAATATTCACATTAAAACTGAGTTAACATGTGTCTATAATTAATTGATATCTAGATAATAGCTACATATTATCTAAATATCAACTGACACCTAGATAATGAAATGTAGTCAATCAATTCTGTTAAAGATCTAGTGAAAGTTTTGTATAGGTTGAATATGATATAATCAAAATGTTTAAAATCGGATTTGAGAATGTGTACCACACAATGCTTATGTATACTTCACTCAACAACATTGCATGTCGTGTACTTGGGGGCTGGGGAGGACTACTTTAAATTGCTGGAACTTTTTGGTATAAATGTAATCATATCAGGCACGCATAGCTACCTCTCATGCATAGCTACATTTTACATACAGTCATATCTAACCAATAAAAATGAACAAAACTGTGGCAAGGTGGAGAGAGAGAGAGAAGAATTAGTAAGTATAATAGGCTAATAGGTTGAAGCCCTTCTAGATGTGATCCTCAATACTCTTTTATAATGAACACAGATACAATTTTTTAAAGAAGCTAACTATTAGAATTGCTTTATATTCTGGCATAAGCGGAGGGGAAGATGGAACCACTATCCCCAAAAAATATTAAAATAGAGAGTATTTTCCTAAGCTTTCTCTGAAGAAGAACCCACAATACGCTTGATCTCCTCCAGAATTTTTTGCTGAACATCTGCTACATTCTTCTTTGCTGCAATGAGCAGCTTCCCAATTTCTTCATCTGTGTACTTAAGCTTAAAGGTACTAAATGTGTCTCTGTATTCAGCAATTTTATCTGAAAAAGAGGCACATTGATGGGTTAACACAGAACATATGCAATCATTACTGTTACTAGAATGCACAAGTTTCTTATATATAGCCACATGCTTGCTCAGAAATATTTTGGAATGTGGTGGGCGGATTTGTTGAAATTAGGAAAAGAACCCTCTGGCAGTAGCTATTCAATACAAAACTGGATTTCAAATATGTCACTGTTATCATATGTTTGGTATGCAGCACATCATGATCAAACAAGGTTTAATGAAGATTCAAGTGGCCACAGGTTATTCAGGTCTGAATAGCAAAAATAAGGCATATTGAAGGAACCGTTTCCCATTCTGGAAACGTATAGTCAGAAAGAGGGTATGTGCTCATGAGTGTAAAGTACAGAGAGCTTAATTAAAGTTAAATCTAAGGATGAAAGTCAGATTAGAAGTCTGCAGTGGTCACAGCAAGATGATCCTCTATATTCCTCCAACCTAATCATTCTGGTTCTAATACCCCATCAACTGGAAAATGCCCAAATGAACCCTATTCCTTTCTTACCTTGACAGTTGACTTTGTTAAACAACGGGAAATGCATGACCGTTATGTTGTCTCCTCTGAAGACATAGCAATTGGATGGGTTGTCTTTGTCCCGCAGTTCACTCTCATCTATAACAGGAAATTTTATTCCACAGACTTTACAGTACTCAGCAGCCTTTTTGACAGTCTTTGTGAAAAAGAAAGAGACCTCAATGCAGTGATTATCGAATTATCACACTTTGAAAAATAATGGCCATCTCATTGGTTGCTTGGTTGGCAGAGAAGAGCATTTGTTTTCTGTATTGCCTTCAGGGACTTTTCAACTACATGAGTAGCTTGCGATGTGATATAAAGTGGTTCTCTTCCAGTCTTGTATATGACTTACAAATCTTGAAGTCATATGTGATTTTTTTTTTATCATAAGAACATAAGAAGAACCCTGCTGGATCAGGGCAAGGGCCTATCCAGCTTCCTGTATTTCACAGTGGCCCCACCAGATGCCTCTGAGAGCACATGAGACAACTAGATACCTGTCTCCTGATACCCCTCCCCTGTATCTGGCATTTTGAGGTACCTTGCTTTTAAGTCTGGTGATTTTACATCTACATCATGTAACCTGTGATGGTCCAATCCCCTTTTAAACACGTCCAACCCCCTTTTAAAGGGATCTAGGGCTGATGCCATCACCACATCCTCTGGCAAGGAGTTGGTGATTTTACATCTACATCATGTAAACACGTCCAACCCCCTTTTAAAGGCATCTAGGGCTGATGCCATCACTACATCCTCTGGCAAGGAGTTCCATAGAGAAACAACACGCTGGGTAAAGAAATATTTTCTTTTGTCTGTTTTCACTCTCAATTTGAGCGGATGTCCCCTGGTTCTGGTATTGCATGAGAGGGAAAAGAGCTTCCCTCTATCTACTTTATCTATCCGCTGTATAATTTTATACATCCCAGTCATGTCACCCCTCAGGATCCTTTCCTCTAGACTAAAGAGCTGTAGCCTTTCCTCATCAGGGAGGTGCCCTAGCCCAGTCATCATTTAGTCACAGTCTTCTGCACCTTATCCACTATGTCTTTTTTTTTAGGTGTGGCGACCAAAACTGTACACAATACTCCAGGTGCGGCCTTACCAGCATTTTGTACAATGGCATTATAATGTTGGCTGAAGAATACTAATATCTGAAGATATTCCTCACACAGCCTGATGTTTCTTCCTTGAGTAGGTAAATGAGCAAAAGAGTTTATACACAGCTGCTATTGCTCCCACTACCACTTCTAAATTCCTGTTGCAAGATAGGCCACGAAGGTCATAAGATCTAATTTTTTAGACCTACACCTTTAAATTCAATGAATTACCTCAAAAGGGTCCCCAGCACTGTAGTCAAAGGACAGGATCAGCTTCACATTTCTCTCAGGATCAAGAACAAGAGGGTAACCACTGTTTATGGCCAGCCCAGCATCAATCAGAGAAACAACTTCTTTCCTTTTCAAATTAGGGACTTTGACATCCGCTAGCAATATGAAATGAAACAGAACTTTAATGGATGATGGAAATTTTACAGGGTTTTGTGGCAAATTGCCATTTATTAACCGGTTGTAGTTGTGCTCCCAGACACATGCTTAATTGTGCAAACAGCGCATATCACAACCAGCACTTCTTCGGTGAGAACGATATCCTTCCAAGTCTTTCATGATTTTCCATATGCACCCTGAACTCATCAACAGAAGTCTGGACACTTTTTTAAAAATGTGCACATTTGTATGGAGTTATTTTCTCCTCAGTTGAGAGGATAAGCAAGCATCTGGTGAAGGGCTGGAACTCTAAGCCGCCACCATCTTGTTTGTGTTCATGTCTAATGAAGCACAGATAGAAAGCACAGACAAATAACTGAGAATCCCATCTTTTGATTCTCATCCCGTCCCTGTTTTGCAGTGTCTTCATGGCATAAGAATGGGTAATTCCAGCCCACAGCAGATTACACTATTGAAAAAAGTAGTTTTAATGCAATTCCATTACAGTGGTGCCTCGCATAGCGATCGCTCCGTAATTTGTGACGGACTTTTTGCCATCGCAAAAGCAATCGCTTTGTGATGGTCCCTATGGGTGAATTTCGCTTTGCGATGATTGCAGGGAAGCAATCATCGCAAAGCCCCCATTTTTGGCCAGCTGATCGGCAGTTTCAAAATGGCTGCCGGGTGAACAAAATGGCTACCCGCTGTGTTTCCTCACTTAAGAAGCACCAGAAATGGCCACCCCTATGGAGGATCTTCGCTTAAAGGTGAGTTTTTAGCCCATAGGAATGCATTAATCGCGTTTTAATGCGTTTCTATAGGCTTTTTAATATCGCTTAGCGATGTTATCGCTTAGCAGCGATTTTTTCTGCACGGATTAACATCACTAAGCAAGGAAAATCTCAGATTTCTTACGCATGTTGTATACGAAATTACTAGTAGTTCCCCATGTCCATGTCAGAATGCATGAATTAGTCTTGTGAATGTGTCTGATCCAGTCTAAAACAAATAAGATGGAGAAAGAAAAATCTGAAAATCATAATCTGAAATTCTACAGAAGCCCTCTCAGATTCAACTGATTTTCTCCTGAAAATCTCAGATTTTATAAGAATTCTGGATAGTTCTGTGGATTAGGTCTCTAGCTGTGGTGCCAGAGATTGGGAGTATGATTCCCCAGTGTGACTCCTCAACAGGGGCTGCAGTTCTAAGATTATTATTAATCTGAAAGGATATTCTATGCATTAGGATTTTCAGGAGTTTTAAAATACCTAAAATTAACTCCCATTTGTTCTTTGACAAAGTTTTTCCATTTACTTTGCACCTGTCTACTTTGTGTCATTAACATGCAAATGAAAACACACAAAATCATAGGAAAAAAATCAGACAGTGTCAAGATTCTTTTCTGCATTTTTCTACCACTATGTATATAGATGCACACAGTAGCACACAGTAAATTTATTTACCATATGCTACTGATGTTGGGAAAGTGTGAGGGCAAGAGAAGAAGGTGACGACAGAGGATGAGATGGTTGGACAGTGTCATCGAAGCTACCACCATGAATTTGACCCAACTCAGAAAGGCAGTGGAAGACAGGAGGGCCTGGCATGCTCTGGTCCATGGGGTCATAAAGAGTCGGACATGACTTAATGACTAAACAACAAGAGCTGTGTGCATGTATATGTATACTGGTCCTAAATGGATCAGTATGCATATACATACTGTCCTAGGTGGAATCTATTCAAATTTGCTTTTCTGTATGTTTATTTTATTTTTATTTATTTATTTACTGAAGAGACTGTTACATCAATAATAAAGGTCCTCAGGGCAACTCACAATGATTTTTTAAAAATCAAAGGAAAAATAATGCAGTAAAGGGCAACACATAAAAACAATAGATTGACATTCAAAACAGAAAAGAGAAGGGAAGACCCTCAGCATTAAATCAATGCAAACCCGTAAATGATGCAGTAAATTTTGGCACATATGCTGAAGTTGGAATAACATTCCACCAGCCATTTCCAGAAAAGTAGCTGCATTAGTCAGTCTTAGTATTTTGACTGAATTATAAGGTGAAAATAAAATTAGAGGAGGCAAAATATAAGCTGAAATCCTGTGAAAATTGGAGGTGGCAAAATATAAGCTGAAATCCTGCTGCTTAGTATATTAAGTCATAACTGGGGTGGCCCATTGAATCAGAGGGATTTGATGAACCAACTTGTCTGTAAATTCCATTGATTTAATGGGCCGAGTCTAGTTGCAGCTTTATTTTGAAGAACAAAATCCACTTCTTCAGACACAAGAATGGCAAATATACCATATTTTTCGCTCCATAAGACACACCTCATTTTTAGGGGAGGAAAACAGGAAAAAATATTCTGGCAATTTTGGCCTGATGGGCCCATGGGGGTGGAGGTGAGGGGAGCCTCGGAAGGGTCTGAGAGTGCCTTCCAGGACCCTTCAGAGGCTTCCCCCCCCTCCGTGGGGCCAGCAGGAGCAAAATCGCCAGCTTCCAGGACCCTTCCAGGACCCTTACCAAGCCTCAGAAGGGTCCTGGAAGGTCACGATTTTGGGGTGGGTGGGTGGAGGGAGCCTCTGAAGGGTCCTGGAAGGTCACAATTTCGGGGTGGGTGCATGGAGGGAGCCTCTGAAAGGTCCTGGAAGGCACTATCAGACCCTTCTGAGGCTCTCCCACCATTCCCCCGCTGGGCCCTGGGGAGCACTGTTTTACTAGGCCCTGGGGAGTGCTGTTTTACAGTATTCACTCCATAAGACGCAGACACTTCCCCCCCCCAGCTTTTTTGGGGGGAAGTGTGTCTTATAGAGCGAAAAATACAGTATGTATTGCATATTTATATATGAGTGATGAGAGACTGTAGACAAAATTACCATGGTCCATTAATCCAGGACGATGATGATCAAACTCTTAATAGCTTGACGTAGATGACCCTAGAAAGGCTGTTCCTGGACAGAGTCTGACCTCTGCCCCTGGAACAATTCTTATGATTTCTATGACAACCAAATATTCCCAGCAGATACCATATCAACACACTCTCCTCATTGCATTTGCCTGTATAGAATTGTGGGTGCAGAGAAGAGAGTCCAGAGAGGACAGGTGAGCAATGTTAGAGTAAAACTTAGTTATAAGCCTATAATTCCTTGACAAGGTTTGGCTCTGCTGGCAGGACATTCTGCACTGGTGGGGGCTCTTGGCCCGCACTCCTTGGTGAGAGACAAGCTGGTGGGATTGCCTATTGGCATTACCCACAGGGTTTGGCTAGGGGTGGGTGGGACAAGTATGCCTTTAAAAGGCTGCCCTGCCCCCAGCCAGCCTTCTTTGTGTATCTGCATTTTCTGTGACAACCAAATGTTCTTGACACATATATGATCAACACATTCCCCTCACTGCATTTGTACTTATGGATTCATGGGTGAGGAAAAGAGGGACCAGAAAAAGAGAGACAGAAAAGCTGAGCAGTGTCAGAGTAAAACTCAGTTACATGCCTTTAATTCCTTGCAAAGGACCCGCTGGCACCAGATTCTCTACTGGCTCTAAGAGAAAGAAGAAATAGCACTGAAAATGGGCAAAGGGATCAAAGAATTCAAGCAACTTCTGAATGAAGGAAAGTTACAACTTTTGAACCTTTTTAGCTTAGGGGAAAGAGGTGAATAAGAGGGAACATGATACAGCTGTATGAAATTATGCACGCTATGAATAAAGTACTGGATTTAACGACCACCTGCCAAAGTTGAAGGAAGGGAAATTCAAGGAGTATTATTTTTTCACACAATGTATATTTAATCTGTGGAATTCACTGTCACAAGATATAGTGACATTTTTAACTTAAAATATTGGATATTAGAAGGGGGAGAAAAAACATTTATTTATTTATTTATTTATTTATTTATTTATTTATTTATTTATTTATTTATTTATTTATTTATTTATTTATTTATTTATTAGATTTTTATCCCGCCCATTTAGACAACATCTACTCTGGGCGGCTTACAGTAAAATATCATGAAAACAATTAAAACAACAATTTAAATCAATAATATTAGTATTATTCAAGGTGGGAAAGTATAAACAGAAAATTAAAATTAAAAGTAAAGTCAAGTTTTAACAGGAGGGAAGGCCTGCCTAAAGAGCTAGGTTTTTAATCGGCTCTTAAAACACCCAGCATACGGATGGCACGAAGCGCCACACCACCTGATGACCTCACCCAGCGACCTCATGTTGATATTAAACAGCATTCGGGAGATAATCCTATGGAACCCCACAGTTGAGACCCCACATTTAATTACTTACTTGTAATTCTTTGTAGAGGGTTGAAAGAGAGAGGTATGAGCTTTTCTACTGGTTCTGGGCAGGGGAGAACACAATGAAAAAGACACAGTTCATAGATGCCAGAGGGAGACAAGGCTTGTAATAGCAAGCAAGCATTTGCTTTTTTCATGCTTTGCAATTTGCACAAAAATGTCCATAACTTTGTCCTCCCCCCTTTGTGTGTGTGTGTGTGTGTGTGTGCGTGCGTGTGTGCATGCACGTGCACGTATGTACGTGTGTGCACGTGTGTGTGAAGCATTATTTGAACTTAGTGTATTTTGGTGCAGAGTAAGGAATCGCAAAGTGTTTTTTTTTTCTCAGACTGAAATTAGGAAGAAAAACTCTCTTTTCTCTCTCTTCTTCAAATTTGTCTCTGAGCGATGCTTTCCCCCCAAAGAAAACATAGGGCCCTTGTGGAATTTCTCACAGGCTTCATGATCATTTCCTCCATCCACCCCAGAGAAGAAATACAGTGGTGCCTTGCTTAATGAGCGCACCGTTTAACGACGAATCCGCATAGCAATCAATTTTTTTAGATCACTAATGCGATCACATTGCAATGTTTTAATGGGCAAAACATCGCATTGCGATGATCGGTAAGCGTTTTGCTTACCAGTCTTCGCATTGCGATTTTTCTAAAACGGCTGATCGGTGGTTCCAAAATGGCCACCGGGTGCCCAAAATGGCTACCGCAAGTGTTTTCACGCCAATTCCTCACTTACCGAAGCAGCAAAAATGGCGGCGCAATGGAGGATCTCCGCATAGCGGTGAGTTTGGGCCCCATAGGAACGCATTAAATGAAGTTTAATGTGTCCCTATGGGTTTTTTAATTCAGTTTAGCGATGTTTCCAGATAGCGACGATTAATCCGGAATGGATTACCGTCGCTATCTGGGGCACCACTGTACCAACCAATGCTGTAAATTACACTTTCTCAGCATAATGATGTCTTTCCTGTTCAAAATTGCTAGAAAGGATATTGATCTGCATAGAACTCGGTAGTTTCTTGTGCTGGGCATTTACCTCCAAAATCCTTATTCAGAGCTTCCCACAGTTTCATGCATGCCTTCTCTCTTGTGTCTGAATCTGAAGTTGACCAGTTCTGACGCATCTCACGGAGCAATTGATAGCTTTTGCAGGTTTTGTTGACTTAAAAAAAATAAAGTGATGGCAGATTAAGGCAAGGTGCAAGCAAGGCAATGACGATAAAGTGGTCAAAGGCAAAATTAAATAGAAATGAAGAGGACAATAAATACATTTCTCTGTTGGAAGTGAAATTAGTTTTGGTTTTTCTGTTTTAGTAGTCAGCAGAAAAATACTGGAAGAGAAGCAATTCTGCTGGACAGCCTTAACCACGTTAAATAGATTAATTTTTCACAAACCTTTTATCCGATTTACTGGTAGACACAAAATTTAGGATCTTAGCAGAGCATTAATAAATGTTGCCAAAAGGGATACAAATGGAGTGCAGCAAAAATGAGACAAAATGTTATGCCTTACAAATGTTTTCTGTACATTTGCTGATGTAAAACTTTGGCCACTTTCTCATGTTTTTCACATAACAGTTTCTCAAATCAGCCATATTTCTTTGGCTTTGCTGAAGGCAACTTTGCATAAGTGGCCTGGAAAAAAAAACAAGGCAGGTGGTAATCATGGATCAATAAGATTTCTTTAATTGGGTGGCATACCTTGGTTGCTTCATAACTGCTGAGCAAAATGTCAGATTACTGATGAGCAGAATCAATCCAAGGCATGATTAGGAAAGATGCAGAATTCTCCATCTCATTATTTCCAGTGAGTGAAATATTCCAAAATCAGACATGGGAAAGCTATCACATGGCAACAGCCTTGGTATTCTATAAAGCCTACAAAATGGATTATAGAAAGAAATAAATCTGTTTCCTAAAAGTCACTTACATTTCAATATGTTTTCCAGGAGATCAAAAAATTCTTCTGCTCTTGATGATCCGACATCTGACACACATAGCTGCAACTCCAGAATATGCTGGTATGCCTTGCTGAGTATGTTTAGGTTCTGGAAATCTTGAGAATGAATCACAGTGGAAGGGTTTACATATTCTGGTGTATTCGTATCTTCTTCTAAATCTATTGTGGCTACTTTGTTCTAGTTCTTAGACATTGTCCCTTATACACACATACACAAGGAAATCTTGGGGTGGATGAAAGACCTCATTTCATTCTTTGCACTGTAAATTCTACTAACATAGTTTCCTGTTAAGACTAGAAGCCCCTGGATATGTTATGCCTAGCTTCCCCGGAGGACACGAGACCACGAGGCTGTCTCATGAGACCAGCCTCGAAGGAGGGGGAAACGATATGGGTATATAAGGGCTGTTTCCCCCTCATTGTTTCCTCTTTCTTGCTGGCTTTCGACCTGCCCACCCTATATTCTAGTCTGAGTTTAGCTGGTTGCCTTTGGGGCCAGATAGGAATTTTGACCGGTCTCCTGATTGGCTCTTGGAGGCGGGCATTTTTTGCCTATCCCACACTGGATTAGGAGCGTTGGCCATTTGAAGGGTGGAAATTTGGTCGCACTGGCAGTTAGTGCACATTAAGCAGATATTTGAAGAGGGAAGCTAAATTGTAATAGCAGGTAATTATAGCTCATCTGAACTCACAGCATTGCGGATCGTGCGATTACAGTGCTTGGGGGGGATGCACTGGGTACACACCCGGACCATCAGTCAGCATAGAGAGAGTGGCACGAGGTCCAGGGTGGTCAAATTGGGGCTGGATGTTTTCCCATTGTCTTCAAGAATGGGAGAACTAAGGCCAGGGCTTAGCATGTTTTCCCACTGTCTTTCAGAATGGGAGAACTAAGGCCAGGGCTTAGCACGTTGGTTGTTTAGAAGGGTCATTTTAGACCCAAGTTGGAAACCTGAATCCGCGCTATGGCAGAACCCCCCTTTGCCAAACAATTGGCAACAGTGATGATATTTGAATCAGCATCATTCTCTGCCTCCCCCACAGCTCCTGCACCTGTGATGGCTTCACATCAAGCAGAAATCCATCCATGCTCCCCACCTGTGCTAGCAAATCTTTACCTGCTGAATTTCTGCCAGACACATCACTGACCAAAGTGTACAAACTGGCTATAAACATCACAACCAGTTACCACATGCTCAACCTTGTCTCTGCAGACTGAACATGGAAGACGTAGTGTCTTGTTTGGAAATTGTAAACACATGGATGCTATGGCAGAACCCCCCTTTGCCAAACGATTGGAAACAGTGATGATATTTGAATAAAGTGTGGCCCGTGGCCCATGTTTAACCCACATACTTGGTGTCTCGTATTTATTCCGGGGTAAGAGGGCAATGTGTTTGTATGCCTTTCTTTCTTAAGCACAACCAAATTAGAAAAGAATCATGATGATCTGTTACATAAGCAAGACATTGAACATGTGTTAGGTTTTAACTATAATTCCTGAAGGGGAAAACATGTAGCCTTGGACATTAGTTGTTGCTCTTCTGAAGTGGTAATATACATGGGTTACCCTAAAATCACTATTTTTACTACTGGGATGGGAAGCGATGCCTACTAGCTAACAAGAGGCAAATTCCCAAATTATTGGGAATAGAAGAGTTACATGGTAGAAAAGCAAGACCTCTCTTGGCCATTTCCTCAACTTTGTCTCATGCAATATGCAGTTAGTTAGGCATCCTTCAGTCTCGAAAGACTATGGTAGCGTGCTCTGTGTGGAGGACTTGGAACAGCGTCTAGTGTGGCTGAGGAGGCCAATTCGAGAGTGACAATCCCTTCCACACTGAAGACAAATCCAATCTTTGAGATTCACACCATGCACAAACACCATGTAGTTGTAGCTTATGAAGAAAGGGGAAAGAGTCTGTAACTCATACAACATCTATGTGCATTCAGTTACTGAAGTCTAGGGAGTTTCTAGAGATATAAAATCTATTCCTAAGGCCTTCAGATCTCGCTTGCAGACGTCCTTGTATCGCAGCTGTGGTCTCCCTCTGGGGCGATTTCCCTGCACTAATTCTCCATACAGGAGGTCCTTTGGAATCCGACCATCAGCCATTCTCACGACGTGCCCAAGCCAACGTAGACGTCGCTGTTTCAGCAATGTATTCATACTGAAAATTCCAGCTCGTTCTAGGACTACTCTGTTTGGGACTTTGTCCTGCCAGGTGATGCCAAAAATCCGTCGGAGGCAACGCATATGGAACGTGTTCAGCTTCCTCTCCTGCCGTGCACAAAGGGTCCAGGACTCGCTGCAGTACAGGAGTGTGCTTAGGACACAGGCTCTATAGACCTGGAT